AGCCCCTTGCTGGAGTAGCTATCATGGAGGGTAGTTGGCTGGGCGCCTCCATTGGATTTTGTTCTGCTATCACGTTTTTACCCTTACGTGACACGTCATCTTGAGTGGTCACCCTCAACTGTGAGGGTAGTCCCTTCTTTTCTTCATTGCTGACTATGCCCATTAGAGGACCATTGTAGTACATATCAATTTGGTTGAAATCCATGTCAAAATCTATGACACCTCCTTGTAGCGCCATCTCTTCATTCAGTGCAAGATTCCAGCCATCCTAGAAGGCAAAAATCAGCCTCTGTCCTGACATTTTTCTACAGACGACAGAAAGAAATGTCAGTGGGCCGAAGTTTGGCATGAACAAGGACATAATTGAGTATCCATTAAAGTAAATTTTAGTTTGTTTTGGTGAAAAGGATTACTCATTTTATGTGTGAGTTTTGTTTTAATTTAATGGAATTTTTAAATCCAAAAGTAGAAAAGAGAACGTGTAAAGTTCAAAAATTTTCTGAAAGTTTTCATTATATATGAGATTAATTACAAAATTTGGACGCAGTCATAGACATATGGCCATATAGATAACCCTAAAACAATCAATGTTTCAAAGTTTCAAAGCAAGCAGAAGCAAGCAGAGGTAAGCGACATTAAGCAGCATCAGGTCGCGTAATAGGTTTTCAGGTATCGTCCATTTATTGGTAACATGGGTCTTTCACCCCGGAAATCCACTAACTGGTAGGCCCCTCCTGTATAAAGTTTCTCAACAAAAAATGGTCCCTCCCAAGTTGGCTCGAATTTTCCACCTATTTTTCGGCAAGCAAGAATAGGTCTTTTGAGCACAAGCACGAGATCACCAATTTTGAATGTCCTTGGGCGGACCAATTTGTCATGGTCTTGTACCATCTTTGCGTGGTAGAGCTCCAAATGTTGTTGTGCTTCCAATCGTTTTCCCTCGAGACTTTTCAGTTCTTCAAGCCTGAGTTTTGTGCTTTCTTCTGTTGTAAGTTGGTTGGCAAAAACGACTCTGAGAGTTGGTGTCTGGATCTCTAGCGGTAGCACAACCTCGGTCCCGTACACAAGCATATAAGGTGTACACTGAGTGGGAGTCCTGAACGTCGTCCGATAGGCCCACAGGGCTTCTAACAGCTTGTTATGCCAATCCCTTTTATTTTCATCCATGTGTCTTGTTGAAAGCTTCAACCAATCCATTTGCTCTGGGATAGTAAATTGTAGAGTTTCTCCAGTCTATCCCATGTCTTTTGAAAAAATTATTGATCTTTGTGCTTTTGAAAGCGATCCCATTATTGGAAATTATTCTTCGCAGTACTCCAAAATGATAGACAATTTGGCTTTTGAAAAATTGAAGGACGTGTTGTGTCGTGTCGTAACCTCACGTAACGGTACTGTCTCTTCCCATTTGGAGAAGTAATCTATAGCGGCAAGTATGAATCTATGTCCTTTAGAAGATGGAGGGTCTATCGAACTGATTATGTTTGTGCCCCAACACTCGAATGGCCACGAGGCAACAGTTGGGTGTAGCACATTTGGAGGCTGGTGTAAGACATCATTGCTGGAAAATAATACCTGAGTCTTTTGATCTTCATTTTCATTTTCAGCCCTAGCTGGTGAGCTCCACACAATCTAGCATGTACCTCTTTGACAATATTTTGTGCTTCGGCTCTGCTCAAACACCGTAGCCACATTTGATCGAATGACCTTCTGTATAGAACGTTTCCCATCAGGGCGTAAGACATAGCCCTTCTTGTAATATGATTTGCCTCGGACTTGTCTTCTGGCAGCTTTCCAGTATACAAATACTCTATTAATGGCTTGCGCCAATCTTGATTGATGTCTGTAACTGTATTTATTGTTTCTTCTTTTTCGAGCTTATGTAGAGTTTCTAGGTTAATCTGAGACAAGACTTGTCTTCCTTGCACTATGATTTCAATGAAATCTTCTAGGGGACATGTCATTTCCTTAGCAATTTTTGCTAGAGTATCGGCATGGCCATTATCTCCCCTAGGAATCCGGTAGAAATTCACATCGGGAATCTGCTCCAGGAGCTTCATCGTGTACTAAGTCACCTCAGGAATATGCTGCAGGAGCTTCAGCACGTACAAATGGTATTCTGTTAATCTTGGTTTTAGAATTCTGTATTGTCCGGCGACTTGAGGCGACTTGTTAGATGACAAGTTGAGAGTTACCATAAATGACAATATTCGTTATATCCATTGAAATCGCCAACTCCAATCCGGTGATTAAGGCTTCATATTCTGCTTCATTGTTGGTACATGGCTCCGTCAGGTGGTACGAAAAACTCAACATACCCTTATCTGGCATGATAAAGATCAAACTGATCCCTGCCTTACCTGGTATAACTGT